AAAATCGAGAATAAAATTGAACGCGTGCATTCAAAAAATATGGAGATCAACTCAAAGCAAAGATGAACGCTTTAAAGCTTCTATGAAAGTCTAAAGAGTTCACTCCGTTGATGCACTTGTTCTAATCGTCATTGTGATATTCGTATTCCCTATCTGAAATAAGCATTTATCTCTGACGTTATAGTTGTTGTTTTTTTAAACACAACACTAGTACGCAATCTTTTTTTGAAGTTTACCGCTGAGTGATTCGCTTCAATAAAACTGAAACATAATTTCACGATGCACATCAAAGCTATCTGATGGCATGTCTTACCTTATCTCTGGTATTTATATTTTCAAAAAAAAAACAGCTCAATATTATATGGGTTTCCGACATGACGCATCCCACTTTTTCTGTGGATTTGAAGAGTTCCTCCAATTAACGGAACACTCATTTCCCTATCATTTTTGACAAGAAAGTGTGGCAAAGTTCATCTCACGAATGTAAAACATTTTCTATCGATTCACTTCACTGATCTATTTTTCTTTCAATTTTCAGTCAATTTTTTCCAAAAAGACGGAAGAGGCCGAACAGCTCTTCATTATCCTGCCGAGAATGGTAATTTTGGATATTTATGCTAACTTAATCAGAAATGGATTGAATATATTTGAATGATATGTTTCAGGTAATTTGAGCGAAGTTAAAATGCTAATTGCGAGAGGATATCAAGTTGATTCGACAGACAAAGAACAGCGCAAACCTCTTCATTTGGCTGCAATGACTGGTAATGTTGTCTATTTATTTTTACTCAGGAAATTTGTTCGATTTTTTTCATTGGTCGGTGCTTTTTTTCAGGTCATAAGGACATCGTTGAAAAGCTAATCGAAGGAGCACCCAATGTTGATTTTAAAGATAAAAATGATATGACACCTCTATAATATGGTAATGTTGTCTATTTATTTTCGCTTAGGAAATTTGTTTGATTTTTTTCATTGGTCGGTGCTATTTTTTAGGTCACAAGGATGTCGTTGAAAAGCTCATCAAAATTGGAGCTAAAGTTGATCCCAGAGACAGCCTTATGTGGACACCTCTTCATTTAGCTGCTATAAATGGTAATTTGGAATATTCATGCCTTCAGTTCAGTAGCTGTTATGAAGGCTGAAGTTGCATATATATTTTCATAAAATAAGAAATCGGTTTGATCATTTTCATTAATCGGTGTAACTTTTCAGGACAAAAGGTTGTCGCTCAAAAGCTTATCAGCAACGGAGTCAAAGTTGATTTTAAAAACCGTTCTTTTCAAACAGCTCTTCACTTAGCAGCCAATATTGGTACCTATTTTCAATAAATGAGAATTTGGTTTGATGTTTTTCAATGTCTGGTGTTATTTTTTAGGTTTCGGGGATGTCGTTGAAATGCTCATCGCGAAAGGAGCCGAGGTTGATCCTAAGGACCGTCTTAAGCGGACACCTCTTCATTTAGCTGCTATGAATGGTAATTTGGAATATTCATGCCTTCAATTCATTAGCTGTTATGAAGGCTGAAGTTGCATATATATTTTCATAAAATAAGAAATCGGTTTGTTCATTTTCATTACTCGGTGTAACTTTTCAGGACACAAGGCTATCGCTCAAAATCTTATCAGCAACGGAGCCAAAGTTGATATTACAGACGTTTTTAATCAAACAGCTCTTCACTTAGCAGCACAGAATGGTACCTATTTTCAATAAATGAGAATTTAGTTTGATCTTTTTCAATGTCTGGTGTTATTTTTTAGGTCATGAGGATGTCGTTGAAATGCTCATCGCGAAAGGAGCCGAGGTTGATCCTAAGGACTGTCATAAGCGGTCACCTCTTCACGAGGCTGCTGCATACGGTAATTTTGAATATTTTCACTTAATAAGAAATTGGTTTAATCTTTCTCATTGGTCGATATTATTCTCCAGGCAAATTACAGATCGTTCAAATGCTCATCGCGAAAGGAGCCGAGGTTGATCCTAAGGACTTTCATGAGCGGACACCTCTTCACGAGGCTGCTGCATATGGTAATTTTGAATATTTTCACTTAATAAGAAATTGGTTTAATCTTTCTCATTGGTCGATATTATTCTCCAGGCAAATTACAGATCGTTCAAATGCTTGTCGCCAATGGAGCCAGTCTTACTTCTACAGATTATCAAAATCAGACACCTTATCAGATTGCTATATATAATAGTAATGTTGAACATTTTTGTTTAGAAAAGAAATTTTAGTTTGAACTATATTATTTTTCAGATAAAATGTTGGTCGCTGGCTATCTTAAGGAGGTTGAAGAAAAAAGACGCAATTGAAAAATCATATGTTTTCCTTTGAGTTCCGTATTCGAATGTCATGTAGAATATTAATTTCAATATATTTTTTTCAAACTTTAACCATATCAATATTGCTGCTTTGTACGACTATATCGGTTATGATGTGAAAAGTTGATAAATCTAATACTAAGCAAAAAGCTTTAAACTTTTGAATACACTCATAATTTCAAGGAAAACCTGAACTGTTTAATATATAAAAAAAAATTGCATTCGTAATCCCAAACTTGTCGTATTGTGGTCCGTACTTTTGCTTTTTGTGTGCTATGTATTTCGGATTTGTGTGCTTAAAATTGAATGTGTTTTCGTATGTTAACGTTCCGCTTCACTCAGCACCAGACGTAGACAGTACAAAACTGCTTTCATTTGTGTAGAGTGCGCATTTTGAGAATCCAAAATAAATCTTATTTCAAACAAAAAGAAACGCGATGAAAACATCGACAGAATAGAAAAGGTAAATGTTTCAATAGTATTTCTTGAAAATAAACTGAAAAACACCTTTCGAATCCGATTACAATATTTTATTTTGCAGATCAAAAAATTCAATCTGGAATAGGCGTTGTTCGTCAAAGTGCTTTCCTACGCCGAGAATGTAAACGAAATCGTTGATGAGACCACGAAATTATTGATCGAAATGATTTCGGCTGTGGATAATTTGGGACAACAAGCCTCTGTGAACAGATTGATAGAATAACCATTGCAGGAACAAATTCCATTGACTTTGGAGGATTTTGAATTACACAAGCAAAAGAAAAGTCACAAATTGAAAGAATTGCCAGCGACATTGATGGATGAAAAATCAAAATATCGTGTCTCGCATCTACAAATTGTCTTTGAAAATTCCGAGGATTAAAGCAACATTCGAAACAAAGAAACATCGCCGATTCTTAATGCATCCCATCGGCCAGTATGCAAATATTTCAAATTACAATTCGGCTTGCAAGAAGCAGGCACCAGAAGCTTTTGAACTAAATGGAATGGCCATATGCACCCAAACCGATTTGTTCATGATTCATGAAATATTTCCAGCATTCTTGCGCTGCGAATGTTTTTTCGGTCTATTGCAATGGACAAATCATTTATACAGTAATTCGGCCAATCATAAGAGGCGATCTTTTGTAAGTATCTCTTTTCAGATTTTGGTCGGAGCCAAAAGAAGTGCATCAAGAAAATGCTTCAAATGCATGTGCTCACGTTGCGTCGGTCGCGATATGCCATTGGAATAACGAACGCAATTAAACTTTGATCTCAACTTTATGACACGTTGTCTCGAATATGTCTTCTTTTAAGAGAGCAACTCTTTATGATGAACAATTACATGGATTGGCCAAAAAATGTATTGTATTTTTGCAAAAATATGGCCATGGGATTTGGTGTGATGAAATTGACGACATTGTCTCCATATACATTTGGCTTTTACAGCTTTGATTGAATTAATTATGATGTTCTCATTTAGAAATCGCATAAACAAGTCTTGAATCGAGGCCTAATCATAGAAACTATGTATACATCTCTGACGAATTCATCTCTAATTAATCTCACTTTGAATGTTTGTCATAAGCTACATTACCCCAAATTCATGAAGAAAATGGTTGAATAAATAAATTAGATCAAATTATATGGTGTTTACATTTTTATAATGACATTAGGTACTGCAAAATTAAAATCAACGAAATTGTAATTGGTAAGTAGATTTTCAGAAAAGCCATTGAGATATAAAAAACGTATTATTATAAAATTTACCGAATAAAATTCAAATGTGACAGATTTGACATTCGAAAACTTCCCCTGATTGAGAGCATTAGTCATTTCGTCGGTGGCGGTGATTGTCGTAAGTGAATCGAAACAATCAACATACGCATACAAATGAAAGGGCAAATTCGTTCTTCGTCTCGATGTAGAAGTGTTGCTGCAATACACATACACACACAAAGGAGATGATCGAATCAAGATTGAAAATGTCATCAATAAATTTGCTGTTACAAGAATACCAACATCAACAGAATGCGATGCTGACTCTCATTTTGTTAACGTCAATTTGGAATCACAACCAATTCCAACACTGAACCTACTTCCAAATCGATATTTTCGCCGATTTTTAAGCCAATGTAAGTCGATTTGTAAATATAACATTACTACAGGGTGGCTGACATGAACTGCAAAAAA